CCCCCACCCCAACTCCTATTTGATCTAATGCTATATATAGGTTGGTTATATGTTTTAGGGTTTAGTTTTTTCTAATTTTTTATTTTTGTCTCTAGGCTTTCACATCAGTCTTCAACCACTTTCCCAAAACCTTACTAGGGTTGTATCCGAGGACAGGTGGTGCTCCGAATGTATTCTGCTCCGAAGTGGTGATTGCCTCCTCTCTGTTTTCCAGCCGTCGGACAACCCTCCTTCCACTTCCTTGTTTTTCAGTCGCCGCCAACCCCCTCTTCCATCTCTGACCATACCCTTCCAGGTTGCTAACGAACTCCTTCCACTTCCTTGTCAAGCCACTCCCAGTCACAGACTTTCCTTTTCTGCACTCCATCGTGACAGCTAGCCCTCCCTTACACTTCCTATCCACACTGATCCACTTACCCTACTTCAGCCCCCTTGTTTCGCACCCTCTTCCACTTCAGCCCTCAACCACCGTGCCAACACCACCGTCACCACTGGTCTTTCCACCCGGCCCTAGTCGCACATTGATGTATTTTGTTTTCTAGTTCCTTTTAAGTTCTGATTGTAATCCTATTTGTTCAAGTAATAATATTTGTTTATGATTTGTGGTTTTGGATTAAATTTCGGTATCCCACTATGTGTTATAAAAATTTCTCATCCACTTTTTGTGCTTTTACCTTACAATTCTCATGTATGAAGATTCCAAGTACTGTGCATGATACTCTGAAAGTCTCTAAGTGGAAGAAGGCTAATTTTGAAGAGATGAAAGTTCTTAAAAAAAATGACACATGGAAGTTGGTTGATCTACCTAGAAGAAAGACAACTATCAATCGCAAACTAGTCATTACAATTAAGTATAATTTTGATGGCTTTCTAGAATGATACAAACTCGATTGATCACCAAGGGATTCACTCAGACCTATGACATTGATTAGTTAGAGACATTTGGTCTAGTTGCAAACCCAACTCTGTAAGGGCTCTTCTATCACTTGCAGCAAATCAAGACTAACCCCTATAACAACTAGATATAAAAAATATATTCCTCAATGCAGACTTAGAAGAAGAAGTGTATATGAATGCATCTCCGAAATTTATCGAAAAGTTTGGCACAAAAGGGCGTAAACTGAAAAAAATCCTTACAAGGGTTGGAGCAATCATAGAGAGCATGGTTTGAGAAATTTATACTATTTGTTAAAAGTCATGGTACTCAAAGGCAAGTAAATCTTACTGCACTTCAGACATTCAAATGATGGAAAAATAATAGTGATGATTGTGTATGTGGATGATATCATTCTCATAGGAAATGATGCACATGAGCTGAATCGTTTGAAGAATTCTCTATCATCTATTTTTAAAACCAAGGACTTAGAATTTCTGCGGTATTTCTTTAGCATGGAGATTACTCGATTGAAGAAAAGAATTCTTGTCTCCTAGCAAAAGTATGTGCTTGATCTTCTCAAGGAAACTGTGATGAGTGGGTGTAGGCCAACAAACACTATTGATCCAAATCAAGAAAATAGGAGATAGGAAGAAAGGTGATCCGGTGAATACAATTAAGTATCAAAATTTGGTGGAAAAAATAATATAATTATCACATGCACAACTAGATATTGTAGTTTTTGTTAGTTTAATAAGTCGATATATGCATTCACCCTATGGAAAACGTCTTGAAGCAGTCAACAAAATTCTCAGATATCTAAAATGTACAACAGATAAAAGCTTAATCTTTCAGAAGACCACACAAATGAACATTGAGACGTACACTGATGTAGATTGGGCAGGCTTAGTTATTGACACGAGATCAACTTCTAGATAATGCACCTATGTGTGGGAAAACCTGGTTATATGGAAAAGTAAAAAACAGAATGTGGTTGCAACGAGTGGTGTGTAGGAAGAATATAAGGCTATGGCTAATGGAGTATGTGAAATGTTATGGTTGAGAAGATTTCTAGAAGAGCTGTAAATGCCAATAAACATGCCAATTAAGTTATATTGTGTCAATAAAGCGTCATAAGCATGCCAGAAAATCTTGTGCAACATGATCACACAGAGCATGTGGAGCTAGACAGACACTTCATAAAAGAGAAGATTGATTGTGGAGCCATTTGCATACCATTTATCTCTACCACTAAACAAATAGGGATATATTCACCGAAGGACTGTTCATGCCTAATTTTGACCAAAGCACTGCATGATTTAATATTGTCTAGTCTTGCCATGTCATTGTTCTTGTTTTATTCTTTTATTATGGGAGTTATAATTGATATTATTGTTTTCCCAATATGGGAGTTATCCTCCTCTATTTAACTTCTAATCGTTTTTCAATAGAATAACAGTGGAATAATTATTTTTCCCCTCCCAAAAACTATATTTATAAATTAAAAAAAGTTCACAAAGATGTTCTTCACTTTCTTTGAAAATTGACCACAATGCACAATTGTGATTTGAAAACCTTGTCATCATTTAAATCTTCATTTTTTTTAGAAATGCATTTATTGCAAATTGGGCCACATTTTGAACCTGGAAAGCACTTTTTGAACCAAGAAGGTTATTTTCATACATTTAGCCCTGGAAAAAATACTAGCAATTTTCCACGGATCATTCATGGATTTGCATGGGATATTTCTTAAAGTTTTCAATTTCCCTCAATCTATCATGTTAAATGTTTAATAGGGTATAATAGCATAATATGGCCTATCCAACTTCAATGACCAAAGTGCTATTTCGTAGTTTTATTAAGGTTTCTTGACTGGTTCTTTGCTACCAAACTATGAATGTTAATGTAGAATTTTATACTTAATTCAATTAATTTTGTCGTCAAGGTTTTCAAAATCCGTGACCAGCCTGACAAAGATGCTTTGACCTTCCTGTCATCAAGGTTTCAAAGAGGACAAAATGTTGAGGCAGTGCTATGGTGACAAAAATAATGTTCATCAGAAGGAACGATTGTCACAGCTCCTAAATAAAAACAACGGTGAATGGGATGCCTACATTGTTATCTACTCATCCACTATCGAAAGGAAGTAAAAGCCACAACTCAAGGAACCCTAAGTATTGTTTTGATGAAAAATAGAAATAAAATCACCGAAGGGGGCACACGAAATAATAGAAAAAGTTCATTATCAAGGTTAAAAGAGCTAAGGAGCATGAAAGAAGGTGATTGTTCACCCAGAATATATATATAGATCCACATTCTTTTGAATTATTGATAAAGGCCGTAAACAACTATCAAATCGACATATATGACTAGATCAACTTCATCATTGACTAAAAAAAAAATCAAACTGCCATCTATTAAAGATGTACAATGTATGTCGAATTATCTAAAGCCACACACTTAAATTTAGAATATGTCAAAAGCAATAAAAATAATAATGAAATAAATAAATAAATAAAAATAGAAAAACACACCAAACAATCTCATTTTGGATATAAGTTGTAAACACATGTATGAGCAGTAGCATAAACTAATACAGTACTATAAGTTAACTAATTAATCCTACTATCTCTTTAACAACAAAAGTTGTTTTGACTATATTCAAGAGTTAAATAAACGATTTGCAAGAAGATGAAGCAAGTCTTTTAGGTTGACAAAGAGATAGTAGGATTAACTAGTAAAAACTACACAGAGGTCTTATAGTTTTGAGAACAACAAAAAAAAAGAATGATCTGACCAACAAAAAAAAACTCCAAAAATACATTGTCTTTTGGGGTGTATGAGGGGTTCAACCCAAGAAAATAATTATAAATTAGGTGTGAGAGCCTTACAACTTTTCTCCTACTATTCTGTCCATCATCCTTCTAATAACTAACATATTTGGTATTAATGCCAAATATTGCATTTCGAGAATCAAGAAAACATTTGAGGGAACCACAAAGCAGAGCTACAGTCCGACTTAAATCTTTGTGTTCACCAAAAACTAAACCTCAAAAAATGTATACTTCTTTCAAAGCACGTAATTGCAAACTTTTTCTCTGGCTTAGAATCTTTTATCGTAATTTTCCTTTTATTTTTTATGCGAGAGACAGACGAGGCACCTGAAATATTACGAGACCAATAAGCACAGGCTGTGTATCAAAGCCAAAACTCCGGAATAGATCCTTAGAATTCCTCACCAGGGTATATCCTCCAAATTGTAGAAATGTAATTACCTTCACAAAAATCACCCAATAAATGAATAAATAAATAAATAAATAATCCAAATAAGAATAGTTTCAACACTGGCAAATAAAGTTGAGACAAATTGGATATTCAGCAAAATTTGGTATCCATAAGCTTTTGAGTAAAAAAAAAGCATATTGACCTTAAAAAACTAGGGCTATAAGCAAATGGAATATGGATTTGGAAATAAATTGATATGTATCTCTTCGTCAAATACAATAGTGAACGAAGTACAAATTTATAGCTCAAGATTTTCAAACTTTATTTGAATTTTTTATCAAACAGTTAAGATTTTATGATAGGTTTTGTGCAGAAAATCAAACCAAATACATACTTTATTAACAATCGATTGAAAAAACAGGATCCAGCTGCAAATCTGATGAGACTTCTAGAGAGATTCAATCGGAAAATATTCACCTCCGTTTCATCCTTAGATTATACAAAACATAATGTGTGACATGGAAAGCAATAATATACATATGACTACAATCTGCATCATTAAATATATAAGGAAGAAGATCTACTACGTTAACAAAAACTAATCATGAGGAAAAAAATATAAACACTTATTTCATGAATTATAAAAGTTGAAAACTAAAAGTCAGGATTTAGAATGAGATGATATGCAGTGGTTCCCACAAAAACCATTCCACATTAAGTTTTAAATTTTGAAAAATAAACTAAGAAAATACTTTTAAAAACATGAAAACAATAAAAATAAATAAAGATGTAAAACCAGTTAAGATAAAAAAATGTTAGGGGAAGAAGAATTAAAAATTAACCAGCATAATCTAAGAAGCAATCAAGCCCAACAAATGGCAGCTAAATCACAAAATGTAAATATGTTATAGAAGTGATTCTCGGGAAATTCAATTACCTAGCCATAACTATGAAGTAAGTACATTTCAAAGTTGGATATTGATCAACAGAAGATGTTATTAAAGTTAGTGAACAATAGAGTTTGATTAAAATACATGGATAAGTAGCTTGGAACTTGCTGCTCATAATAGAAGAAAAGGGGGTTATATCATAGAAAGGGTCACGGCAAAAAATTGAGTGCATATACTTAAATGAGTCCTATAGTAAACATAAAAAATGTGTGTGTTTAGTGCATGACTTGAACTCATTTTATCTTCTGTTATATAGACTGGATGCATAAGATATTCAATAGTTTTATATATAGTAAATTATCAGAAAAAAAATAGAAATGCAGCACTAAAATCTCAAAATATCAAATATCTCCAACAATATACCTGTACAGCAATGAAAGAAAACACCGTATGGTTTAACTTCCAGTGCCCGAGTTCATGAGCAATAACAGCAACAACTTCTTCCTCATTCTTGCACTGCAAAAACGTTCCATCAAAAAAATAAATTATTTTTAAATTAAATGAACAAATTTCCTGCAGCAAACTAATGAAGCTACACATGTTCAAGATATATTCAGGATAAGACTTTAATTTCAAATTTCACAACAAAATTTTTGGATCATTAGCATAACAAATGTGCAATTAAGAATAAAAAAAAGTATGTTCAAACAAGCATACAAAAGAAAAAAAAAAGGGAAAAAGATAATAGCTACTAGATGTCACGTTTAAGACCACTAAAAAAGAAAACACAAAAATTCAGAGCATTAACATCCTCAAACCATTCAATACACAGGGCTATGAGGGTAATCAAATGAATTATCATTTAGATGTATGCTACCCATACCAAAGAATCGCCACTAGAATAAAAAAATATATATTTTAACACCACGAGCATACAAAAGAAAGAATTGAGAAGAAATGAAAGTAACTAGCAGTCATGTTTAAGACCACTGAAAAGAAACAAAAAAAATTTCAGAGCTTCAGAGCATCAGCGTATCTGAAACATTCAGCACAATTCCACCACGAGTACGTTCATACAAATAATCATTGAGATGAATACTGCTGTTCTCATCACTAGAATGCAAAAAGAATTCTTTCAACATCGCCAACATTCTTCCCAACTATTTGGTTAAAAACCCATCATTTTAAGTCCAGGCTACAAACTTAAAGATAAGTGGCTAATGTTGGGAAAATACTTACCCATTACAAAGGCATAAAACCATTTTATTGATACAGATAAGCATACCAATTAAATTTCACACAACTAGAAGTTTTACTAAGGAGAAAATTAAAAAGAATATAAACTACAATGGCAGGCTTGAAAATGAGAATGTTTATGTGCAAATGAAGAAAATGTAACTAGGTTCAATGTCTTAGAAATATGTTATAAATTTTTTTAAAAAATGAAACTTAAAATTAACATCTCATCAAAATTTTCCTATGAATTAAATAGCAAAAATCCAAATTTAGCTACTAAAAAAAATTTAGGGCATGAATCACACGATAAACTTCTCAAGAGATCTAGCTGTCGAGAGCACTAAACGATCCACTTGACCTCAAAGAACAAGGTTTAATTTCCATCAAGTTTTTCTTTTTATTTTAATTCTAACTGGTTACTATGACATGAAGCAACTGTGACATAAAGAATGATATGATTCTTCTGCATCAAAATAGAGATCAGCATATTAAAAGGAAAACATATTGCAGATGCACAAAAAAAACCTAACTAGATAAATTAGTCAAGAAACCCTGCCGAGTAGTTAAAATAAAGCAGAAAGCCACAGAAAGAAACAACATCGGAAGGTGAGTAAAATTTAACAATACTGAAGACACATGCTGAAGTGTGTGAACTGTCTCTGTAACAGCAGTTCAATTGCAAGAGGGAAAGGTTACATAATTCTAGTATATAACAAAAGATGCTTTTCAGAAATAAATGGTAAAATCAAATTTATAAAATAATATTCAACAATTCTTCCCCTTTACAAAGTAAAGAAGCTTGCATTATAAATATAAGAACCTAATCATCTCGAGGTCCAAAATCATGTGCTGAAGCCCAAATTCATAAATAATATGCTGACCAGCTACAACCCTTACTAATTAGGCATTTCATGGAATAGCATCATAATTAGGATCAAACAATCCAACAGCATAATGTGGTAGCTAACAAGCACATAAGAAAAAAATAAACAATTAAACAAAAGAAAATAGATCATATATAACTAATTAAACAAAAAAAAGCCCAAATATCAACTTCAATCAATTCATTAATCAACTATATGTTTTTGCCGATTTAGGTGCTTAAAAACATGAAGATGATCAGTGTTTCACAACATTAGAACTGAAACCACGTCGAAACATGATGCTAACTAAATATTTTGTTCATGTGATATTTCATCCTCAAACAAAAATTTTACATATCATGAACAATTTGACATTTGCTACAATACGGCCAAGTAATGACAAAATACAAAAATGCATACAATCACACCTGTTGGATTAATGTATCATAAAGAACGATGCGCTTGTTCTTGAAAAATCCATACATGTATGCCTGCAAGTGATCATATAAGCCAAAATCATACATATAGTAGCACCAAAAATATACTTTTGGACGTCTTAACATAATGTTTAGCATAAATCTGAGTATCATTCCAGATTAATTGTTCACAAAAATTTCAAATAAGTATTAATTTGGATTAGTCAAGAAAAAAAATCCAATATCCTTACAAAGTTGTTGCACTTGCCGCCTCAGCAAATTAAAAGCCATAGCCAAAGAAGAGAGTAGGCAGGCCTAAAGCAATTATTGGGTTGCCTAAACAATGACCAAGAGGCTATTAATATAATGCTAGAGTCCACAAAATAGAATCTTAGAATAAGAGCACAGAATCTTACCTAGAGTTCATAGAAACTTATGAAACGCACTTGGTATTAAAATTTGATCTTAAAACAAGTTCAAAATGTTTGTGTATAAATCAAGAGAAATAAATTTCTGCATTTTATTACCAAGGAATTTGCTAATTATTGAAATCCTCTATAATGACTATAGGAGTAGAATGGATTATTAACCTATTACGGGTGATTTTTCAGCGATTACTAAAACTATGTAATGTCACAACTAAAAAGAAACATAGCTATTTCCTTCATATTTTCTACTGTCTTGGTAGCATGGCTACTTAAGAAGTAATGTTACTAGTACAAAAGAACAAAGATCCATTGAAGTTATGTGATGCGGAAAGAGAATTTTGAATCTATAAATGCCTCCCTTACTCATAGACAATCGCCAACCTCTGTTGCGTTGCCGTTTTGCTTAACAACGGCCACTCATTTACTCCAACGCCATCAGCCGCATCTTTTCCATTGCTACCGTTATTTCTTCACACTATCCTTGTTAGGCTACTTTCACCATTTTCAAAATGCATCACTTTTCTCAGTTATTGCTTTCACAGACATGATATACTATCATCTAAAAATGCTTAGCAAGTAGAGTTTGAACTTCAAGCTATTTGGATACCAAACCCAAGCAAATGCAAAATTCAATCGCACTCAAGCTCAAGCCCGGGTGATTCAAAAAAAAAAAATAAACCTGAGACAAGCATGCAAGATTTGTGTCTAAAAGTGTCAGGTCTGTGGAAGGTGTTAAGGAAAGATTTAGCTAGCCTCCTACTATCAACGTATCTGAAATCTTACAGCACCGGTGGAAAATTTTTTGTTAGTATCCCTACTATCGACAGCTCGACTCACAATCATAATTTTACCATATAAAAGGAAAATTTGAATTGAAAGCCTTTTAAATAACACGATTCATTGTAAATTACTCATCAATTTCATATCAAATGTATTATTAGAAACATTCCATCTGCATTCCATCTTTCAACTCTAGGACTATCATAAGTGCACCTTGGATATCGAGGAGACGATAAATATTACAGTGATTACTGCTACAAATATTGAGCCAAATAACTCCTCAACTAGATCTATTGAAAATATGTTATTAGGCCAGCAAATACATGCCATATGCTGCTAAAACATGAAAGGAAACACCTGTGATTGATGTTGTGATTATCTAATTTATCAATAACCTACGTATTGATGTTTCAACCTTAAGGTGCGACCTGTATTTTGTTTAAACCTTCAAATATTCCATCCTTGCATCTATCTTAAAGCTAGCTATTAGTTCATCACTTGTATCCACCTATAGCTCCCTCGCGCCCGGCACTCGCACCCTCGCAAACTCGGACAAGGTGCTTGCAATAGATATCAAATTCACATGTAACAGTGCTTGCTCAAATTGCAACATGACCTCTCAATGCTCATGTGCAGCTCACTGCTTCACACACACAGATAGCATGAGCTCCAATTAATACCTTTGCACACTTGTGTAGTGTTGAGATTCCTCTTCCCTTATTGTCAATAATCTCAATTCAACTCTAGGGCATTGTCCCCATGGTTTAGCGCACATGTTATATTTTGCATCAACACCTAGAACAACGCCTCAGCTACTTCAGGATGGCTAAACACTTATCAACTTCATTTTTTTTTTTTCATGTATAGACTTTTACATAATCACTTCCTATAGATCTGAATCTTTCCTCAACCCCCATTGCATCCATGCCAATGAACACTCAATTATTGGCACATTGAGATGCATGCCTTGTAGCTGATCTTGCTAGGGATGTGCATCATTTGGTTAAAACCTAAAAAATGAGCTAACCCAAACAAATTTGAATAATTCAGTTCAATTCCAAAAATGCATTTCGATATCTTGTTTTAAAAACCTCAATATTCGATTTATATTATTGATTCGGTTTAATTTTCTTTCAAACGAACAAACCGAAAAAATCAAAAATTCAAAATTAAATAAATCATTCATGAGATTATATCCATAAAATACATAGGAGATATGTTATTCTTGATGTTTGTTCATAGCCAAATTTCAAATAACTAAATTTTGGTTTGTTCATAACCAAACTGTTTAAGCCGAACTAAATTTTTTTGTTCGGTTCCATTTTATCAAAATTTTGATTAGTTCGATTTCGAATTTTGGTTGCAATCTGTTTGACCAATTTGAAAGCCGATCCATCCAAACCGATCGAATGCTTAAACCTAGCTCCTGTTCCCAAGGCTTCTCCGACAATGAATATCCTCGTTTCCATGATCATTTGTTAAGAATGGTAGTCCTCTAACTACTCTCTTTTCCCCATATTTTTTCAAGAAGAACCTATAAATCTTGCCACAGACTATCTTATTTTCAAAGAAAGCCAACTCCCATCTGTCTAATGGGAGATCAAAGTTGGTGTTGCCTTTTTATCTCTCCCCATTGTTATCATCCCAGTATAAAGATTAATCACAGATTCATGATTTATTCATGTTTGGTTAAAAATTATATTATGAACTCTCATCATACATGAAGAATCTAATCACTTCTCAAAGAACATACTGTATGAATTTGTTATGAATACGTACGTTTAAGTTGTCATCTCATATTGATTGTACCAAGTAATCTCCTATTACATTATTTTGGGTTGCTTTTTCAGGCCCTCAAATTCATAGATGGTTCAAGTTTTGGTAAACTGTTTCAAGTAAATACTATTAATATCAGGCAAATTAAGGCATCAATGGTTAGAATACTAAGCAAAATGGATGTAAATTTCCCTCCGAAGAAAGAATTTTGGAATAGATCCATAGATGGTTGCTATAGGCAAAAGATAGAATTTGAAGCAATCCTCCTTATTGTTCTTCTTGAAAATTTTTTTTGTCACTAGTTTTCAGGCATGCCCAGAGATGTGAAAACCTCCAAATAATAGTGGCAATGAGAAACATTCATTTAATAAAAACCTTTCGTTTAACGCAATGGTGGCAGTTCCAACTCATGATTTATTTTGCACACAAAATTTTGAATTAACTTTAGATGCTTCCTTAAAATTAGTAGCTTATCATATTGCTAGCCCAACAATTAAAACTGAACCGACATTTACTCAAAAGAGTAGTGATCCAGACCCACTTAGATTTTTTGCTCTTGATGAACAACCTATTGTTGGGAATATTGATGATGTAGGCTCTCTATTAATTGGAGTTAACGTTAAAATTTCTAGCGCAGAAGAGCTAGTAGAAAATAAAATTTCAAATTATGTATGCCAAAAGAGAAAAAAAGCAGGAGAATATACTATCGCTTTCCAAAGTATACAAAATTGGAAGTTTATACTTTTTAATGAGAACCCTTGAGACTTTCTCTTCTGGTAATTAGTATGTTTATCAGTTGGACTTGCATATATTTTTCTTTTAGTTATTTTCATCTAATAATGGTGTAATTGCTTTATGTTGCAGTATTTCATTGGATGATAATAATTTTTTTTTTGCTAAAAAAACCTTTATTTATTCTAATAACTTCCACCAACTCTTACAACAAAAAAATTCTTTGGATACTTAATATATTGTAGGGATATTTCACATAAGTTATTCAACTCTATTTTTTGTCTTAACTTATTTCAGCTACTATTATGGCTATTAGTTGTGATTTTTTTGGTTTTGCTCGATGTATTGTAGCATCAAATTGTACTTTGCATTACTTAGTTCTATTTTACATTATGAAAGTAATGAAACTTTAAAACATGCAATGGTAATTTATGTTCAAATACTTTTAACAGCAGTACATGCTCCATAGCATAAAAATCCATACCAAGTGACATGTATTTGAAATTGGTGGTTGAAAGTTTATAGCATAAACTAGATAAAAGATATATGGAATGATTCAAATATCATAGTCCTTATTTATAGGAAAGACAAATCATGTGTGATAACATTGTTTTAGTTGGCAGTATGTCTTGATTTATACTTTCCTTAGATTATATTAGTACAGAACATGCTTATGATGTTAATGATTATGAAACAAGATGTGTTCTCTAACATTTTTATTATCTTGACAAAATTTATTTACTATTGCAAGTAGTTTGATTCAGCCGATTTGATTTCTTTCCTCTGATCCAACACACCTACAGTTTTCCAAGTTCTGACAATAGTATATATTCCACTGCTCTCTTTTCGACTGCTGCAAGTTTCTCTCTTAAACACTTTTCTACTATAGTCAATCAGCTTCCACATCTCCTTCTTCAATACTACTATTGTTAGGCAACTGCTTTATTTTTCTTACTCGGTTCTAATACTATAGCAAGGATCGGTACCTGCAATTTCTTCTTTCTGTAGGAAATTAAGAGCCCCTATTTTGGCTGGACGGAACTGTAAAATTACTATCTTTGTTGAAATTTGATATTGTTGAATTGAAATTCACAGGCTTAGACTATATCTCTAAAGATTATGAAAAGTAATAATTTTTTTATTTTTTTCATTATGAATAGGAGTTTCATAGACATGTAAAATGCATATTTTGGTTTAATAAAACTCATATGTCCTCCCAATACTTAAGTGTATCACTGGACATGAATTCTTCGACCACTTCAGAAGTCTAGACCGCAATTTTTTGCGGAAAGCTTCTCCCTGTACTAGCGTGAGGCTTGATCCTCAAACTGATGAATTGTATCCTTCTTTTTCATTTAAATTATTTTATGATAAATTTGAGTAATTCACATGACAGATGTCATTTTGTGGTGTGGGTTCAGTCACTAAAGAATTTTACATTCATTCTAACAATTTTTGTAGAATTTTAGATTTTGACAACTTTCATAATATCATTTGAAACAAATTAAAGTATGATTTCAGATTTTGTATCAAGAAAAACTAAATTTTGCCTAAATTAAAAGTTCAAAAATTATGATTGTGATCTTTTGTATGTTTTTTTATGCGCCTCATCCTTACTGCATCATTCTTAAGACTCGGAAGCATCCGAAATAAGTCAGTTTCTTTTTCCTTGTACTAGCGTGAGGCCTGGATCTCCAAACTAATGAGTTGCATCTTTCTTTTTCATTTAAATTATTTTAAGAAAAAATTGAGTAATTTACATGGCAGTTGTCATTTTGTGGTGTGGGTTCAGTCGCTAACGAATTATACATTCATTCTCAAATTTTTTGTAGAATTTTAGATTTTGACAACTTTCATAATACCGTTTAAAATAAATTAAGTATGATTTCAGATTTTATATCAAGCAATACTAATCTTTGCCTAAATTAAAAGTTAAAAAATTATGATTGTGATCTTTTGTATGCTTTTTTATGCATCTCATCCTTATTGCATCATTCTTAAGACTCTGAAACGTCCAAAATTAATCAGTTTCTTCTTCCCTGTACTAGCGTGAGACTTGGATCTCCAAATTGATGAATTGTATCCTTCTTTTTCATTTAAATTATTCTATGATAAATTTGAGTAATTTACATAACAATTGTCATTTTGTGGTGTGAGTTCAATCACTAAAAAAATTTTACATTCATTCTCAAAATTTTTGTAGAATTTTAGATTTTGGCAACTTTCATAATACCATTTGAAACAAATTAAGTATGATTTGAGATTTTGTATCAAGCAAGACTAATCTTTGCCTAAATTAAAAGTTGAAAAATTATAACTGTGATCTTTTGTATGTTTTTATGCATCTCATCCTTATTGCATCATTCTTAAGACTCTGAAACATCCAAAATTAAGCAAAACCATGATATATCTACTACACCTTCAATTCATAAGTTTTATTACACATAAAAGAGGTAAAACAGGTGCACTCTCCAGTAACTTCTCATTCATTCCTCATCAACCTAAAATCTGTAAAAAAAATTAGGTAAATAAATCTTCTGGACTAAATGTTGTTACCGGGTACAAGATCCGTTGAAACACAAAATACAGTAAGCTACAATCATAAGCTATAAAAATTTGTACAAAATGGATAAAAAATACTGACATTACTATGGCTTGACCTTGTAGATCCATCAATAACAAATAACTTTTTCAATGGAAACTTGAGTGAGGCTGCCAATTTCTCAATCTTTTCCCTTAGATCCCCTTCTGGTAGCTATTAATAGGGCGTTGCAAGAAAAAGGACAGGTTAGATTGCTAGAAAAATTATATAACACCATGCAAGAAAAATTATATAAGATCATGCAAGAAAAATTTAAATCTATATAAAGATATGATAAAACCAACACAAGGAAATAATATCCTAATTCAATAACATGCATGCTGACATTCTGTTAACAATATTTAGTCGGCAGCAAAAACAATATGAGAAAGAATGAATACTTACAGGGGTAAACTTATTAAATAAGGGTGCAATTAGAACAGGATAAATAGTCATCATTACAATGGAAAGCACAAACATGAAAGCCCAAAGGTAGATTGCCAGATAAGGACCACCTTTCTGCAACCAGACATAATATTAATTAGACAATCAACAAGGCATAATGCATTCAAAAAGTCTGAACATGATGAAAATATGCAGTTAATCCATAGCACTGCATGATTTTCATAATTATCAAAATAAGAGAATTCACAAAGTGAAAAACACACCTGCACTATGAAAATTAATGCTGCAATAATAGGGGGACCGAGCAGTATAGAGAGACAAATTCCCTTGAACAGGTCTCTAAAGAAAAGCCAGATTGTTTGCTGAAGAAAAAAGAGTTAAGTTTGAGAGTAAAAGAGAGGAAGGGCCAGAGCTTCAGCATAAAGTTGAGGAAATGAACAATAATTTATCAACAGATGATTGAAACACAGCTTCTGCATTATCTAGAAAACATACTTTCAAAGTAGCATGTTAAATGTATATTATAACCTCAAAAAATTCTGCTTACTTTGTTAAAACCATGACGAGACTCGATCACAAATGTTGAATAAAGGGAAAATGGAAGGTCAGTTATCTGCAAAAAATTGGAAAAAAAAATTAAATAGACATTATCATGACAAATAATCTAAATGACAAAAAATTAATAATAAAAATAAAGGCTGGTAGTGGAAACCCTAACCATAGAGAATAAAATTAAAGGATGAAAGAAACGCCCTAACATTGCTCTAATACCATGTAGAACATAGAACAATAGAGAAACTCTCAAGCTTCTTCACTTTTCTTTGTACAAGAGGAGATATATTCATAGGGGTTGACAATCCTTTGGGAAAGCACACAAATTAAAATTCGAGGGAAAGAACGATAGAACTAACAGTATAGAGGCCCGAGCCATGTGTCGTAAGTTTTTTTCTATCTAAGGGTCATAAGTAAACCGATCCAATAGTACAAAGTCTTGATCAATGTGTCTCAAGTTCTTTGCTACGATTGGAGCATAAATTCAACAATCACCATTTATATTAATTTGAATCTAATCAATATGATCACTGTATCTAATATAGGAAAATGAACATATATGATTTTTATAAACCCAATTTTGGATAAAACTGGGCACATGTGCTCATTTTGTGACAAATTGAAAACAAAACTCCCCTCACCTCATGGGCACATGAAAATTGAAAAAAAAAAATTTGACGGGACCACTACTATTAAATGTATAGCAGAAAAAAATGATAAATAAATTATTTTATGTTCTCAGAGCTAGTAAGCATACCTGTGACCAAACCATAACACCTGCTAAAAAAGACAAAGTATGTATTATCTCATTATCAGAATTCAGGCCAATGTGTGATGCAATGTCCCCAGATTTCTGCAACCAGAAAAAGAATAAACACTTACGGAACAAGAATAAAATCAAAAAAATAATAGCAAGTTCATTTACTACCTTCCAAAACCATGGTAACACACCAAAGTACAAAATTGATGTGTCCAATACAATGGTTACGACTTCATGAACAAAGTGAAAATAGCTGAAAAATGAGAAAGAAAGCGTCAGTCTTGACGTTTGAATAACCACATGGTTTCTTTGCAAATCAGGTCTACCAAACTATAACATATGACCCAAGTATGAATGCATCCACAGTACAATGCCTTCAAAAATAGACTAATTGATCAAGAAAGATTAAAAAGCTGACTTTTTGAAAACCTCAAGAAAGAAATGAACCTCTTTTCAAGGCTGTATGCTTTAGATTTTTCAAACTTCTCTTGACTCACTACTCCTTCTAACTGTTTAGGAAGGCTTGGCAACTTCAAAGCTCTATGTTGTCGAATATCAAGATAAGTCTCAAACAAGTACATTAAGATCATAAAGCCTGAAAAAAAGAAAATGGCAGGTTACAACCAAATATATGAAAAAAAAAACAAAAAATTCAAAATGTTCATTTTGAAATTGTTCACACGACATGGGTTGAAGTAGCTTAATCAATACAATACACAATCCTATGCATTTTGATGTTTTTTTATTAGAAGGCCTTTTTAGATATAGTAGAACTTGCTTCTAAGTGCTGTACTGCTACACTAGCAGCATTAAAAACCAAACATTTGAGGAACCCCTCTAATGCTAGTTGAGGCTGGAATATACTCAAAACTAGAACCTCAATATCCTTGATCAAAATGTCCTCTTCTCATCCATCTCCCTAATAGATCTCGAAGAGCATATGTCTCGTGTTTGTTAACTAACAGCAAGCTTTGTGAAAATAAACATTTATATTATACCTATGGGCACCTCTTCATTTCTCTCAAATGTGTAATAGGTCAAGAGGAACAATGGAGGCAGAGATTATGCATACAAAGATGCCAGCATCTATGCAAGATGAAAGCTTTCCCCTAGCCTGAACTATTTTAAATTAAACAATCAGGTCATCATCAGCAACAACAGACTAACACCACCGGTTTCCAACGAATATTTCGTCCACTTATTGAATCCTACTTGACCATATTATTCTATAGAGGTATATTTGGTGCAAAATTATATTAAATATGTCTGTCTGAGTATTTAGAAATGTTTTAAAAGGCAAAGGCATAAAGTGAGGAGTTCTCTAAACAATCAGGTCATCATCAGCAACAATAGACTAACACCACCGGTTTTCAACAAATATTTGGTCCACTTATTGAATCCTACTTCACCATATTATTCTACAGAGGTATATTTGGTGCAAAATTATATTAAGTCTGTCTGAGTATTTAGAAATGTTTTAAAAGGCAAAGGCATAAAGTGAGGAGTTCTCTTGATGTACATACACTATCTCGCCACATGCCATAAGTCCGAATATTTTTTTTTATTTTTATTTTTCATATATACAAAATACAATTGAAATGTTTAAATAAATAAAAAAATATAAAGTTCATTGACACAATCATGTAACATTAAACAAAGTGAGAAATCAAAGTGAAATAATACAAGAAACAAGTTGCCAGAGGCTACCAACTAAAGTGACGTACAAGTCAACAAAAAATATGCAAAGCAACAAGGTGTCTCTAGTGAAGTGAGCGAAGATTGGAATTATCGTGATGGGAGGGAAATAAAGGTGAGTAAATCCCAGGGCTTCAATGTTTCCACAGGCTTGAAAAAGAGTAATCAATTTGATAGGATTTCACTCTTAAAAAATAAAAGGCAAATAATTTTTTCATTCATATTTTTCTTTGAATATATAAGAAAGATAATTATAAATTATAAGAAGATAAAAATTACAAATATGATAATTTAAATTAATTCAAATTATATTATGAGTTTATCTCCCTAATAGTGAAGTCTAAGAGTGGAGTCCTAGGCACACGTAGTGATGCCCCAACCTACATAGGCATAATTCCAAAAAGTTAAACACCTCCCCAAACTATATGAAGCATTTCGTCCCATCTCAGTAGGAGGTGAGCTTCAGAAGATCCCCTAAAATGCCTTTTAAAACACCGGTATCTTAAGTTAGGTAGCCCAAAATGCTTACTAACCTATTAACGTTGTTTTTTGCTCTTCATTCCTCTTCTCATCATAATTACAATCCAAGCAACTCAACCTATTTTCTTTTTACTACGTTATCAACAATTAACGTTATCTACAATAACTAAACCGTAATGTGTTTTCTAATATATCATTGTTCACTACTAGATTCTTTAGATTTTTGTCTAAATTGGCCTTATTGTAATATATTCTATGCCACTATTCATTAAAATAAAATTTAATATTTTGAACTATTTACTACATTTCACCGTTGAACAACCTTAATCATCTATGGCTTACATTTAGACTCTTTGATAACATATTTAGCATTATTCTTAAACAATCTAGCCATATGGTCCATATCAAAGTACATCAACTTCAATTTAATATTTTCTAATCCATTCCAAGAACCTATTTTTTAATATTAATAGACTTATTGTTTTGCAATTACACTACCTTATTGATAGACACTTCTCATTTTCAACAACTTCAGTTGAACCTTTAATCTCAATTGTTCCCTGCAGAAACAAATTTCTTTACATTAATAGATTTTTATTTTTATTTTTTAATATACAACATTTTATTGTTGGAGACTGTTTTTTTTTTGGTCCTTGCCAATAAAAACCATATCGTAGTAGTATCATTGCAGCTGTCTGATTCCTCCTTGGCAAGATAGAATCGATCTATGATGCATGGCTTCTAATTATTTAGCTATAATGCCATATCGTGTTCAATAAATCTCAGAACATGTACTTTTGGAATAACCAATATCCCATGCGCATTATCAAAGACACCATCTCAAAAAGCAAACCAAGATGCATCAATCAAATTGTTATTACCTCGTGAATCCTTGTATCGAGAGAGCTCTATAATTAATTTTGTTGCTTTAGATGACCCAAATGGCTAAAGAAAATAAGTTTAGACCACACTAAGGATTTACACTCAAATAAAGCCTTCAAGTTAAAATCAAATGTGACTCAAGATACTTCGACAGAGCAAGAACATGAAAATGATCCCATTGGATCTACTCAAACTCCATCTTTTAACTTTATTTGACTAAAAGTATTCATGTCAGCTCAATCTAATCATGAGTTAATCATGTTTGTTTGAATCCCCACGTAAAGATGCATGTTGATCATTGAATTAATATGGAACACAAGTTTCAAGAATAACTCAACAATGCATTATCTTTCTCGTTTGAGAGACAGATTATGCTCCTCCTCAAAACCCATGCTTGGTGACAGAATATTACATAAAAAAACTAATCCAAAACCTTTCAAAGAAATTCAAAATGCCCAGAGCGAATAACAGTTAAATAGATCTCAAACATAGCTATTAAAAAGCCAATGCAGCACATCTATGATCATTAGGTCGATATCTCCAACAACATTTTTTAAATACCCAAAGAAACCTCCATATCACAGCATAAATTTCAGGTCGCCATCAATCGGAAATAAAAATCATCTCTTAAGCACGAGAAGCAATCAACCCATAGTCAAATCATGCTATTATTATGCCACAAGAAATCACCATTAGCAGGGGCAGAACAAAGTTACATCCACACACACTAGATATATCTTTTTTTCCAAATATTTTATAAAAAAGAAACATTTGGTATTTTTGTCCACCCTCAAAAACAAAAGCCGATTCGCCCTTCATCATTAGTCATCATAACCCACTAGACCGTGAGAATACAAACTTAGAATTAAAATTTTAAACGAAAGAATAATCCAAATGAAAAAAAAAAATATGAAACTAAAAGCATTCAGTAAAGCTCAATGAAAACAAAACCACTGAGAAATAAACTTAAAGAATAGAATCCCTGATAGGATTGCTATTCCAACATCTCCCTTGGCCCCAAACCAGCGTAAGGATCAGGGCACGATGAAAAAAAAAAAGGACAGATTATGCCATGATAATAATATTGAGATCAATAGTCAGAAATCAGCATGGCAAGGGAACCAAAATATTTTTAGAAGAGATTGGCCAAGCGAAAGGGCGCGGCGCGCGCATACTCAAGACAGCTTCCAAGTAAGGCAGCGCCATTTAGGATTCGGGAAACCTTGGCTGGCCGGCAATCAGATGGCCGCGTCGGCTACTTGTGTAGGTCAAAATGGAGACGAAAGCTTGTGTTACAGGCGAACCGAGAAGCCGCCTCGACTGTCCTGGTTAACAAAAATAAAAAATATCAGAATCAACAAAAAATAAATAAATAAATAAGCAGCCTCTTAAGTCGATCATTGTCCGGTCGGCAGCTTGCAATTTGCGAAGCTTGGGGCTTGCTAATGAATAATAAATCTTTTGGGGGTATGTATCACATAATTTTAAAATATTATTTCTAAAATGTTTGATTATATTCTCTCTTAATAATTGATTATTTTAGGGTGGTTTTATGATATATGGGTAAATGAGACAAGTTTAGTATTTATTTGTAGTCGGCTCATCCGAAATTTGTTATATTTTAAGTATGACTGGTGTACTTCTAAAATATTACATGTATCATCATTATCTTATAAAATTTTTTTTTAGGTTTAAACAATACTTTTTTGTCACGTAGTAGGCCCCATGCGTTCCTCAACTTCAACCATCTAACTTGAATTCTACTAATAACATCTTCATTTGTATCATCCTCACTTTGAATAATAGACCCAAAATATCTAAAACATGCACTTTATTGAATGACTTGATCAGTTTGTCACAACCGCGCTAGTAGATCTACTACTAAAATTTCATTCCATGTATTTAATTTTAGATCTACTCAAACGAAAGCTTTTAGATTCTAAACTTGACCTTTATAAATTAAGTTTTTCCCGAACTCTCTCTAGTCTTATCCATGAGAAGGATATCATCAGCGAAAAGCATACACCAAGGTACATCCTCTAGTAAATGTCTAGTAAGAACATCCAGGATTAAAGCAAGAAAATATATATGGGCTTAAAGCAGATCCCTGATTCCAACTGAAATAAGAAAATAAATGGACAATTTTTCTTGAGATCAAACACAAGCGACAGCTCCAGTATACATATCTTTAATGAGTTAAATTAGGGGTGTCAATTCAGGTCAACGTGTTGAGAAAGAGTCTGACCCAAAATTGACCTGACACGAAATAAGATCAACCCGAACTCGACAAGAATAATAAAATGGTTGAAAACTAAGACCCAAACCCGACTCGAAATTTCGTGTTCATTCTGATCATGTTTGGATTTTCAGGTTCAACTCAAATTAGACTCGAATCGAATAATAAATGGATCAAATTCTCTTACTCGAACTTGACTCAAAAAATTTTTGGATCAACACTAACCAATATTTTTCGAGTCAGTTCGAATCGTGTTGGCTTGTCAGGTCAGCTTTTAACACCTCTAACTTAAATATAAGCAATATCAACACTTTTTTTCCTAGAGCTCTCCAAAGTACTCCTCTTCAAACCTTATAATAAGTTTTTTTTTCTAAATAAACAAGAATCATATATAGATCCTCCTTATTCTCTATGTATTTCTCCATCAAACATCTTAATAAATGTATAGCTTCCATAATAAACTTGCCACACATGATTCCAAAATAATTTTGAGAAATTTTTGTCCCGCATTGTAATTTATGTTCAATTATACTTTACCATAACTTAAATGTATGACACGATAAATTAATTTTATAATTTGTACACTCTTTTGCATCTCGTTTATTCTTAGAAATATGAACCAATAGAATCTTTCTCCACTCATGATCGTTTTTTTTTAAAAAAAGTTTAGTAAGCCAATAAATTTTTGAATCTCCTAAACATTTTCACATTTTTCTTAGAAAAAGTATCAGGTCCTGCTATTTTTTCACACTTCATTTTCTTTACAGCCTTCTCAACTCATATTTTACTAATGCAATAATGAAAATAAAAAATTGTTTATTATTATCTACGATATTAAGATAACTAAAGTCAATCGTATTTTTACAATTTTTATTGAAACTTTAATTAAAATATCTCACCCATCTATGATGAATATCCTCATTTAAGAAAATCACTTTATGATTTTTCATCCTTAATGCATTTAACTTGAACAATTTTTTTACTTTTTTATCTCTTTGCTTGGTGAGTTTATATATATGTATATATCTTTCACTCTTTTAAAAAAACTGATATAAAGTGTCAAAAGAAAAACTTTTATCCAGGAGCTGAATCAAAAGCATTAAGTAAAAAAGCACCAAGGATAAAGAAATTAATATAGTAGAAAAAAAGGTAATACCAGCATTTATACAACAAGAGGCAAATATAAAGCATCAGAAAAATCCAACCATAAGAAATAAGCAAGCAATACAAATCTTAGAAAAAGGAAGTAAAATGAAATAGGAGCACATAGATAACAAAATCCATTAAGATTCATAGGATACATCTAGCTTAAGATGAATCAACTTAGATGTGAATACATCCTTGAATTTCAAGGGATGCAATAAGCAAGTAACAAAAATTCAAAATAAAAGTAGGAAGAAAGAAAAATGTGAAAAAAGACACTCATTTCTAGCAACTACCGCTAGCAACGACTAAAGAACGAGGGATAATAAATTTAGAGCCTAAAATGAAAGAAATAAAATATCCATCGAAACTATTATCATAAACCACCATTTCGAAGGCTATAAAGCAAAAAAAAAAATCATCATCAGAAAAAAAAGACAGAAGCCAACAAAGATTTTAAAATATTAAAGATCACGTTGTTAGCTAAAGTCAAACTAGAAGGTCCACACCACAATAACAGAATAGTAAAATAAACAAATAGAATCATCCCCATAACACAATCAATAATAAAAAAGACAAGTTTAAAGGACCCCACATAAAGAAAATGGCAAAACAATCTTGAGAGGAGACAAAAATTTAACAAGATAAAATGAACGGAGAAAATAAAACAAGTAGAAAATTCAGTTATCATCCATTTTAAACATGATAAATCAGGTCACATTATAAATGACTGAAAGACCATATGTAAAAGAGAGCAGAGAAACACCACATCCTAAGCAAGAGATAATTTAAATTCATTTAATATGTTGCCCAATATGCATGTTAGATGATTTGGACCAAAAAGAACGTTCAGGTTCATATATCTTAAAGCCTTATATCAATTACAATCATTTAAAAGACTAAGTGTAGGTTCAACCAAGGCGTGGGCTAAAGGCACCCACAACTTATAACAAAAGGGGTAGTTTGAAAATCTGTCAGCCGTACTAAATTAAGATGACACTAAAAAATAATAGAGGAAGGATGGAAAATTTTGTAAATTAAATTTTGGAATATAATTAAGTTCACAAGAATATAAGACACCTCCCATAAAATTGCATTCTAGGCAGATTCAAAATAATTAACATCATTACTATTATAAATAGTATTTTAATCGAGAAACACTAACCCAACGTCAAAAAGAAGAACTTAAAAGAATAACAAGATAAATCCCATCGATCTAATCATCATAGAAGCAAACATAATTAATTAGTTTTATATAATAAGGAAGACCCATTTTATCAAGATTGATTAGGCCTTTAAGATTCCTAGGATAATTTTCATTAGAAAGGTTAGTGAAAAGAATGGCTTTAACCCCCATTTTAGCCAACCAATCAGTACATGCATTTTCTTCTTGATAAATACGAGTAATTTTGTATTGAAACTTCTTTAAGAGATTAGTTTTCTTTTTACTTAAATAGAATAAAGCAGAGTTAACCAAACCAAAAAGTTTATAAAAATAAATGAGATGCATAACTATAGAAGCATCAATTTCAATCCACATACTATTATTTTGCAATTCAGTAGACAAGCATAAGATGTATTTGAGAGCAAATATTTTTGCATAGATGTTAAAATATCTATTATGAGAACCCACAACAGTTTTGATTAAATTACCATTTTAGTGCCTCAGTAAACAACCAGATCCATGAGTTTTATTGTAATTGCGCCATTAGTGTTCATCTTGGTCAACCACTTTCAATTTTATGCCAAGTAACCAACACACTATTATGACATTTATTTTGGGAAGATTGAGAAATATCAAAATAATTTAACATAAAACTATAGTTAGAGAAGATCTTACTATCAATTAAGTTAGCCTTGAAAAGGAGGAGAACTCTCTGTTTGATATTCTAAATAATTTGATAGTAATTCATTTTAATACGTCTATATTTAGCATTATTTATTTCCTTCCAAATGAATTAGATGAGAGTGATCAAAATAATAACAATGTGGTTATTTTTTTTTTACTAAGGTAGTTAACCACTTAGCAACCAACATGTTATTTCTATTCCTCTCTCCTTGGATGGTGTCTATACCATACTTCCTAACCTACCTCCTCCACAAATTGGTAACTATTATAGTGAAACTATTTGTGTTAATTCCTTGGAGAGTTCTCAATTTATTGAAAATGCTTTACTTACCAAACCTTCTACTCCTTCTACTACTAAGGCTTATTCTAACTCTTTGAGTTATGATAAAGGTGTGACTCAACCTTTGATAAATCCCTTGCATGATAGGGATGAATTAGGAACTTATGATCCCAGTTTTTTTCCTTATATACTGTCGGGTGAAGAATATCCCTCTCTACAAAATGCTTGTTTCAATGAATGATGGAGAAGAACCTTTCAAAGAAATCACAAGAAAAAATGTAGAGGTGGCAAACAAAAATTGGGTAAGATTGCGAGGTATTGAAATGCTAGCTCTGTTTCATTTTTTATGTTTTATTTTATGTATTGGAATGCTAGAGGAAATGGTTCCTCTTCTGTTAGGAATAGGATTAAGAATCTTTATCGTGTTTATATAATTCCATTTCTTAGTATCATTGAACTAATGGTTAATGGGAGTAAACTAAATAAAATTAATAAATTTTTAGGTTTCCATTTTGCCAAAGCTAATTCTTTCAATAAGCTTTAGATTTTTTGGAAACATTGGCTCCATGTCGACATTATTGATAATAATTTTCAATTTGTTCATTTCAAATTTTCTTATTTAAAGTTAATAACTTATTTTCATGCATTTAGGCCACTTATTTATGTGCTACAAGGCTGTAACTTTGGAATACTTTAGGATACATCTTTGCTGATATTGATGGTCCTTAGTGTATTGAGGGAAATTTTAATATTATTTCATTTTCTTTTGAATGTATTCGTGGTGCCCCTTCTGTTGGAGGTGCATGAATGAATTTAGTGATGTTGTTCTGGCTTGTTATCTTATAGATATTGGTTTTATTGAGTCTTCCTATATCTGGAGCAACAATAAGATTTGACTTCTATAATTATTGATAAGTATTTAGGCTTGATATAATCCTTTTTAACTATAATTAAATGTATACTTTAATACTTATATTAAACATCTTAGTAAAACCATCGTCGATCAACTCCATCTTCTAATTTATATTAAAGAAAATTCTACCTACAAATCTCATGGATTTCGGCTTCAAAATATGTGGATGAATGATCCATCTTTCTTAAAAACTATCTCTAATAAATGGCTTGCTCCCATTTATTTCGATGAAAAGGTTAAAGATATGAAAAGACTTCAATTTAAAATGAAGAAGCTCAAACAAATTTTATCTTAGTAGAATAAGCACCGGTTCAAAAACCTTTTTTCTAATATTCTTAAAGCAGAAAATGAGGTTATTCAACTTGAAAATTATTTGAAAATGATACCAATATACTAAAAGTTCGATCCGTTCATCATACCTATACTTGAACACTTTATTAAAAAATATTTTTGGGGGTTTACCTCATACTCTAGGACCATTCATTAGAGCTCCCCACATAGAATTTATTTTCTTTTTTCCTTAAGGAGATTTTGGTTGCAAAATATTTCAGAACATGGCTAAAGCTTTTGCTATCAAAATGTGCTGTGTTTTTAGAAATGGCTCTATATTTATGGGCCAAATTCCTAAATCTCAAATATTGTCAAATCAAACACACCACTATTTGCCCTCCTCATATGGGATATTCTCCTATTTGAAAATGCATGTATGGTATTAAAAGACAGGTTGAGTCTCTTATCCTTTGGGGTCACAACAAAGGCAATTTAGTCTTTTACTATGATAATTGGTTTGTTAAAGATTTGAATAACAGTTATAATATCTAATATGCAAAAAAAGTTGGAGTAAAATATTTTAATAGAGTTTAAGTTACAAGAGAAGGAATTGCTAGCATAAATGTTGATATTTTGAATTATGAGTATTATTAATCATAAGCATGGCTAGTTTAATCCAATCATTTTAAATCTTAATCGATTTTACTAATTAAATAAATGATATAATCATAAATAGTAAGCATACTTGTTTGCAAGCCAATGAAATATATCATTTAAATTTCAGGACAATTAATACATTTTTCTAATTAACAATTCATATTAAATTTCTTGATTTTATTTTATTTTCTTTCCCCTTCTAATTGGTAATAATATTATAAGTTTCAGATGATAAATATATATGTGTTGATACATATAACATTTGGCCATCTCCTAGCCTCTTAATCATAATACCTAAGTATAAAGTCCTAACTTCATTTAATACGCCAATTATTAATGGCCCCTTAATTTAAGGTTAGACTATATCACACTAGCTTTCCGGCATCAATAGCCAATATCCTCTTTTAGCTCTACTAATAATCATTTCATCAAAAAAAACTTCATTTTCTCTTGCAAATCATCATTATTTGTCATCTTACAGAATATAACCTTTCATAGACTTCCTTTCTTCTTAACATCATTGTCGTATAAAATCTTATTCACATTGATATGCACATCTTATCAATCATTTATAACCAAGGTATCAAGATGCAACATTTGAAAAAACATATATATATATATATATATATATATATTATGCTTCATCGAAATACTTTCATAGCATTAAATTAACACGATCATTTTCAATAAAGAACAGATCCATGCTAAAAAAAGATTTAATATCATCGTAAGAATGAACAAATAATAACCTTAAGAATATTCTTGTTTCTTTTAGGTCTCCATTTGGGATGAAAGACCTAAACACCTTGCATTGTAGACCTCACTTCACTTCTATCAATCATGAGTATGTCTGCCCGAGAGATAATTGATATTAAATAATCCATAATCTATTTGTCTCATCATACTTACCTCATTTTCTTCTTCTGTAGATGGGTTGTTTACAAATTGACTGAAAATTGCAAGTTAAAATTATATTTTTCAATCTCCCCATAAGTTTTATAATAGAAAGGTCAAAGATTATCCAACAAAGGATATAATAGAAATTGCTCCACTTAGAATCTTGTCAAAAAACAGCTTAATGTTGCCATGCGGTACGCCTTCAATTATTAAACTGAACCAAATCAATCATACATATTTTGGTTCAGTTCGATTTTTCGGTTTAAATTAACTTTGAGATTCAGCAAGAGCCACCCTGATTACACCACTAGCCAGAAAGAAACCAAGTTACAAGATATGGAAGCATATTTTTCATAAAATAAAAAGATGCTTGTTTGTAAAATATTATTGCAACTACCCAGGAAATAAATTATCTAATTACTGCCAAAATTGCTTACAATGTTTCAAGACCACAGGCTAGCTGTCTTAATCTACAAGTAGCAATTTGAGCATCAAGTAATAATAAATAAACTAGTTTGCTATTCAACTTGCGATACAAACTTTTCAACATCGGTCCACCATGCGCAATCATCATCCATCATGTCTTCATCCTGCAACTATGGAAAATTGAAAAAAATATAAGTAAAAGGGGACAGTTTTCATTTTCGTTTCTCTTCATAACAAAGCCTGTACACAATCAATAATGATAAAGAAAATCAAACGGCAGGCTAGGAATGGCAGGTGTGGAAGCCATTGGAATTGAGTTTCAAGTTGCAGAAGTAGATTTCATCATAAAAAAAATTCATTTATGATGATTTATCTGTATAAAGATTCAAGTGAGATGTTCTAAACAAGTCATATCATGATATCAAAAGATAGCCTTTAGTTTAAGTTAAATCCAAAACGAAAAGGTTGTAGATCTCTGAAAGTTGACACACATAAGAACCAAGAATATAGGGCAGATCTAAAATTAGTGAAACATTAAAAAAATGCTAATTCAGTGATAAAAAACATTAAATCTAAGAAAAAAATCACTTTTGATTTATGCTATCAATATATCATTTCTGCTGAGTGTGTGATAATGAACTTGGAAGGCATGTTAGAGAAATAAGTTGGCACATCAAGAATATTCCAATGATCGTTGGTGCGCATGGATGGCAGGTGATGGCGGCAACAAACAGTTGAGGCAGTGACGGTGGGCAGCTAGTGACAGCTAACGACAATGACAGCCAATGCTTGACATAAGCAGAATATTTATGATTTGCCAAAATCTAGTGAATTCCAAAATCATTGAATTTGAACTAGAGAGTGATGCATTTAAATTTTACACTGCATTTATTTTACTTCAGACCAAGTATCAAAATTTTCAAAACTCCTATATTCCTTTTACAGTGCACTCTTTTTCAATAGACTAAAGAACCCCTTAGTCCAAACGAGAAAGTTCAAGGTTGATGCTAGGTTGGCCAACTCTAAATTTATGTAAAGAACATGCAATCAATCATATATCCCATTTTGCCCATTCCAAGGCACTCAAAAGTAACATACCACAATAACTTTTTGGGTTATAAGCAACGATTAAGTACTGATGTCACCCTTAAGCGAGACACCTTAATCAAATTCAACTTTGCAAAATAGTTAGCAACAATTTGCATGAATGTTATGAGGGTCATAAGCCATAATCAAATCGTGCTCTCAAATATGTCAGGATTAATTGACCATGAAACCAAAAAGATACTAGCATCCACAACCATGCGGAGAAGGGTGGGCATGCTTGAGAATATTAAAGATTTAATTGTTGCGGAGAATGTCGAGCTCAGGGAGTGACTCTTAGGCGATTAGGATGAGGGGTGAGGCTCTAATATCAAAATTGATGCAGAGTAGTGGCAAAGAAAATCATGATTCATGTAGTTTCAGTATTTGATTTTTGAGAATAAGAATCTAGTGTAAAAAGAGGACCAAAAAGGTAAGTAGACTAAGCAGTCCCAAAGATGAGATAATATAACGTCTCAAAAGGACGGGATGCATATGGAAGAAAGGAAGCAACCATAAAAGGAAGATATTCCCAAAATATAAGTTAAAAGAAAGTCATTTACTTTATTTATCTTCAACTCTAATATCAAATTACAAGATATTTGCTTGATTTATATAAATAGTTTTTATTGAAAAATTACAAAACCACCTGTAAAAATACAAGAATACCAAACTCACATACAACATGCTGATAATACTTTAATAGAAATCAAAACGAACACAAAGCCGCCTCATGACTAAGGACCATGGTTACCTTAACTGCATCAATATAGGAAATAATACTGCATGTGCTAGAAATATCAAATTGCCTAGTAACATGTTTTCTAACTAAAAAAATTAGTATATCAACTGATACTGGAGTTAAACCCAAGCCATACTGAAAATATAAATATTATTATTGAAATTCAAATGTTACAACGACGAGCATTCAAAATAAGAATAAAACAAGACAAAACACACAAACGACCATCTAGGATGAGAGCGGTAGGGGTGGACATCAGCTGGACAATTGGTGTGTTGATTGATTGGGGGGTGATGAGACAACATATGCAGGGTTTAGAAAAGGGTGCTACAGAGGTTGGAAGGGTTGGAAGCAGGGGCAAAACCAGTCTCTTTTTTTAGGGTGGCAAACTGCCGTCCTAGACTTTAACGTGAGAGGGGCTAGAACAATGAAGAACAAAATGATACTTCAGGAGAGGCAAAACTAATATTTCAGGAGTGACAAAAGACCAAATTGGACCATGGTTACCTTAACTGCATCAATATAGGAAATAATACTGCAAGTGCTAGAAATATCAAATTGACCCGTAACATCTCTTCAATATATCAAAATAAGTTTTTCTAATTAAAAAAAAATTAGTATATCAACTGATACCGGAGTAAAAACAAACCATAATGAAAATATAAATATTATTGTTGAAATTCAAAGGTTACAATCACGACTCTTCAAAATAAGAATAAAACAACACAAAACACACAAACGACCCTCTAGGATGAGAGCGGCAGGGGTGGACACCAGCTGGACAATTGGTGTGTTGATTGATTGGGGTGATGAGACAATGGTTGCAGGGTTTGGAGAGGGGTGGTACATGGGTTGGAAGGGTTGGAGGCAGGGGCAAAACCAGTCTTTTTTTTTAGAGGAGCAAACTACCGCCGTAAACTTTAACGTGAGAGGGACTAGAACAACGAAGAATAAATGATACTTTAGGAGGGACAAAACTAATATTTCAAGAGCGACGAAAAGCCAAATTGGTAAAAATATAAATTTGAAAGGGAGGGGGGGGGGAACAGGGGCTGGAAAGGTTGGAGGCAGAAGCAAAACCAGTCTCTTTTTTTAGGAGGGGCAAACTGCCGCCCTAGACTTTAACGTGAGAGGGACTAGAACAACGAAGGGCAAAATGATACTTCAAGAGGGGCAAAACTAATATTTCAAGAGTGACAAAAGATCAAATTAATAAAAATATAAATTTTTATTTAATTGTTTTTTGGGGGGGGGGGGGGGGTCTACCTGGGTCCGCCCCTGGTTGGAAGTTGTGATAGGGTCTGGAAGGTTTGGGGAGAGTTGCAGCAAGTTTGAAATTGGGTAGGAGGAAATTATGACAGATCTAGAAGGGCTAGAGGGAATTGCAACCGATCTAAAAGGGGGCTGGAGTACGACCAGGTTTGGAGGGTTGGAGAAAAAAAACTAATAAAAAATGGGAAGTAGATGATGAATTACACCACCTCAAGAAGAATTACAACCAGAACACCTTCTCACTGTCGAATACAACCCTATAAGAGAAAAAAGGATGCCAACTGCTGTCCAAATAGAAATCTCAGCAAAAACTAACCCTAAACAAAAAATAACATCAATTTATGTTAGTAGATAACTATGAGCATTTAGGCGGCAATCCTAACCCGAATTATTAGGTCGATTGGCCCCCCTTGCCTCCCTTCTTGAACCTGTCCAGTGGTTCAATCGCCAGTTCAGGAGAGGCCCACGTCAGTCTCTCGGGTTTGGGGGAGCTTCAACTTCACTCTGGTTGTACAATTTTGAGATTGAACTTTGCCTATAAGATGTGGTGGTCGACTGGTGATGTGGTCTCTCCACTTTTTAAGCTGGGATTTGAACATCATGTCTGTAGTGAGCTAGTAGAAATTGACATTCCATCTCCCGTTTCATCTTGAACCAAGTAGTAATTTTATCTTTTCCTTCTTGTTGGCATATGGAAATCAAATTTTGCCACCAAAATAAGGCACTTTTCTTTAACTTGTTGGCGGCTAGTCTCACCATTTCGTCCGGTGGGCCGTCATGACACTAAGAAAAACATTTCATAGTCCAGAGCAACTTGATGACCTTATCCAGATCCATGAAGCCATCAAAATATGATAAGTCCACCTTTACTTTCTAATGTTGGCTTCTCAAATATTTCATGTCAAATCTTTGATGTAGAGATTCTTCATCCCTGGAATCAGTATGGTGGAAGAGATTCACTCCAAGCATTCGATTTATCAAATCACTGTTGTGGCTACGAGTGACCCATTCAATTTACCTCCCCATGAAAGAGTCAAGGCTTTGTTGTTGTTGGCAGTTTTCCCACTGCATATCCTCCCTAAAAATCTTTCGGACCACTCTGTGAATTCCTCATAAATGACATCGTGCCCTTTCCTCTAGACTAGGCTTCCAACTATTGAATCCTCGGTAATATGACTAGGTTTTAGATTTGGGAGGTGAGAGAGAGGGTATGAAATTGATTGTGGGTGCAGCAAAAGTATTTTGGGTTGCTAATTTTGAAATATCAACAAGGAGGAAATTAGGGTTAAGTCAAAGCTGAACAATGGTTTGGGAATAAAAAAGAAAATTTTTGGGGAAGACAGGTTTGAGTATGGCAGATGCTCGAAACCCTATGATAGAACTAAGGTCAAACTGTCTTTGATACTAAATGATACAAGAGTTAACTCAAATCATAATAGAATTATAAGTACTATTGCTGAATTCAAAGGTTACAACGACGACTCTTCAAAATAAGAATAAAACAACACAATACACACAAACGACCTGTAAGGTGAGAGCGACAAAAGTGGACCCGGCTACACAACAGGTGTGTTGACTGATTGGGGTGATGCAGCAGTAGTTGGAGGGTTTGGAGAGGGGTGCGACAGAGATTGGAAGGAGTTGTGGCAGTGTCTGGGAGGCTTGATGAAAGTTGCGGCATGTCTGGAATGGGGATGAAGGGAATTACGGTAGATTTGGAAGGGCTGGAAGGAATTGTGACCGACCTGGAAGGGGTCGGAGGGAGTTATTGCTAGGTCTGGAAGGGTTGGAGAAGCTGCAGCTAGAAGAAAAGGGGAAGTAGGTGAGGAATTAAAGGGAAGATACACACCGCCTTGAGACGAGTTACAGCCGAAGCACCTTCTCGTCGTCAGATACAACCCTAAAAAGGGAAAAGAGGGATGTTGGCAGTTGTTCGAACATAAATCTCATAAAAAACTAACCCTAAATAAAAAATAACATCTATTTATAATAGTATATAACTAGGAGCACTTAGGCGCTAACACTAACCCAAATAATTAGGCTGGTCGGCCGCCCTCACCACTATTCCTAAATCGGTCTGGTGGTTCAACCACCGGTTTAGAACAGCCCCGCATCACCAACATCATTATGAAAGTGTTGACTTGATTTTCTTTTTATACGTATCTTCTTTTTGCCTAACTTTAATAAAAAAGAAATATTACAACAACAGATCCTCCTTACAATCTAGCACTTTCCAATAATAAGATCATTCCAATCTAACATTTCCTGCCATAACATCTTTGCAATCCTCTACGTTCCTACAACAACACCCTCCTTTAAGTTAGAGCATATATATCAACAAGTTTTAATTAGTTAAGAAGATCAAAAAACTAAAGAGGATCTGAATCCTTAATAAAGACATCCACTAATTGCTTAACAATTAGGTTAATGGGGATCAAACACATGATAGAGTCTCCCCACAAACTTGACGGACATTGCTCTTGCCTCAAATCTGAAGTGCTATCAAACTCCGGTGCCATAAATAGGACTTGTAATGGGAACTAAGCTTTCCTGCGCTACTAATGCACTGCTCAAGGTTACAAGGATGTAGTAGAAGCCTCCTCTTCAAGAAAAAAAGTTGACTTCGATTCATCAATAATAAAACAAACTTTGGATATTCATTCTATTAATGTCAAACGAGGGAAATCAATAAAGAAGAGTATCCTCAATTACGACCTTAAATTACAACAATCAACCAACCCTTTGACATCTTTCTAATCAAACATACTCATTGTAACAAAAATTTCATTTCAGGTGCAAATGTCATTATGGGGGGATGAGATTCTCCGAATCTTAATTCACTCTAGCTAGGATTGAACTAATGAAGCTATCAAGCTTTAACATTTCCAAATTTAAAAAATTATTGATGTTCTAAAATTGTTTAGAAACTTCAAAATTTCTCAAGAACTTATAAAAATGAAAATAGGTTCAAGCAATTTGACTTGGTTCCTAAAATTAGGGTTAAATTTAAGTATTTTGGGTCATTTTGGATTATTTTATTTGCATTTAAATGTTTATTAGGATATTTGGATGATTGTTCCTATTTAGGTTGAATTAGAGTTAGATTACACTTGTTTTCTACCTAAATTGAGCTTGTTATTACATGATATGGATTCCATTTTCTACAAATAGGAGGCCAATTAAGCTGTGACTGATTCAGATTTTCCTCTTTTTAGCCAGCTCCCTCTATCTCCACAACTGATTTCGTGACTCTCTCTTCTATCATATTTTAGGTATCCGTCTCTCATATAACCTATCAACACTTTCACTGACCCTTTCTTAATTTTGTGAATCCTTGTATTGGCTTGGACCATAATACCAAACATCTCAACAATTCATATGCTTTAATGATTATCTACAAAAAAATTGAAAATTCACTACATGCTTCCCTAATACTCTCCCTCAATACTCCTTTCTAACATTTATTAAAGATTCCACCATTGTTGCCCACTCAACATCAGGCTGGTAAGATCATTGAGCATATTTTAAGCCTGCCTAAGATTATCAAGTTGATCATACCTTAGAGTGGAAACGGTAGGGTAAAAGCGAATAATTTGGAACCAAATCTGAATGAAATAAAATATAAATAAAAGATAAATATAAGGATCCGCTGCCATTCTTATATGTTTAAAAGTACATTAAAGTTAATTATAGTTTGTCTAAAATTTAACAAGAAAAACCTTACAATTTGCTAACTTTATCTCTCCTGTTCTCTTAATGTTAATTTCACATTAAAGTCACTCGCAACTTGATCAATGAACTATAGTCACTCCATACATATGCTGGAAGCTTATTCATGCATTTCCGACTACCTTAACTACTCAGCGGTTCCCTCCAATTTTATCTCACCATAAAGCTTTGATTATCTGAATCTTCTTTGTCTCGATGATTTCAAGTCACTTTTCTGTTTTCAACGTTCTCCTTTTGCATGTCCAACCATGTGATCAAATCTCATGTATGCATCTCATGATAGAAACCCAGGCTTTGCATTTAGAGTCGTTCTTGTCACTTATACATTCGCCACTAAGAATCATACTGAATTATATATCCATTCTTTTATGAAAATCCAAAGAAAGATTTACATATATACAACTCAATTCCTGTGTATTTAGATATCTAACACCTAAACTTCAATATTAACATACATAACAGCTTACCTACGCATGAAAAGGTGTTATGTGACTTTTTAAAAGTTATAATGGTGGTATTTTTGATATGATATGAAAGATGTGGGTGGTATAGATGTAAAAATCAAATTTTAGATGTTAGATATGTAAACACATAGAAAATGGGTGGTGTATGTAGATGCCCCAAACCCAAAATACATAAATTTTTGCATGCAGTAGACAGTCTTGGCACGTAGGGGTTTAGGGAATGTGCGCCAGGAAAGAATTAAAAGGGAACTCATATCAAGTAATAGCAATATTATCTGACAATCAAAACAAAAGAGGAAATAGTAAGAGAAAGTACAACAATAGCAAAGTAGCATTGATTAGGCTTGCTCGCAAAAATTTGGAAATAAAAAATTACAAAGTTGCAGAGAAAGATTGAATATGAAAAGAAAGTTGCTCACAAATGCACTGAAATCAGGCACATTTCTCATATTCTCAGTATATTCAGCAAAACTTATAGCTTTATGCCACCAGCTCATGTCTGTGCAACAATCTGTTGACAACTGCTCATTATCAAATGCAACCATGTTAGTATTGCCCACCTGAAGATCAAGATTTATATCGACAACCTGCGCATAATTTTCTATTTGAGTTGAATTTGGTAATGCAGAACTGTCAAGAAGCACATCCCATGGTAATGGACGGAAAGGAGAACGATATCCTAATGAAAAATAATATATTGTCACGAAAATGAATAAAAAAATAGACTATGCCAATTGATGTTCAATGTTTAATAAATAGCAAACCTCTACAATCAGGATCATGACATTTCTGGTAGTAGCCAGCTCTCTGGAAGTCTACCACATACAGTACTGATCAGAAAAAATAATCAGTTATTGAAGATGGGTAATGCACATAGGCTTAATTTTCAGAATTTCGAGTTGATGAACAGAAAAAAAGTATAAAAAAAGTGGTATAAGGCGGCAGCAGCTTTCTTTTGATACCTATGCATATGTTAGATGCATGCAAATAGAAATATTGATTCATCTTGCAGGTAAATATGCAATAATACATAAGACAATAAAAGGAAAACCCGAGAAGTTTCATGCACTGGATGGAAAATTAAACTCATATTTATAATGAAGCTGCACCGAATGATATTCAAACCTATCTAAACCCATATTTATTTTGGCAGGATTTTAAGGAAGCTAAACTGGAGAATATTCAAACGTTTTTAGACCCATTTTTATTTTGGCAGGATTTTACGCCTTTTATTTTTGTTAGAATAAATGTAATTCAAAAAAGGATATTCTAATCCTTATTTCAGTTAATAAGGTTATAAGATAATTTCATCCTTAGCTCAGGTCAAGTTGTCTTCTATAAATAGTATAGCTTGAATGGGCTTTCCATTTATTATTGACTGATGAGTGAATTATTTAATGATGCTAATTATGATTATTTGCTTCATCCTCTACTGATGTATGGATGTGGATCGCGCCAAATTGCACACATAGAATTCCTCATTTCCTCTCACAGTTGTGTAAACAAAATTTTCGCCCCCTTTTATTCACTCTTTCAAATACAACTCATTTTACATCATTTCATAGCAAAGCATCCATCCATCTCTCCATCATTTGTGATCTGAGAGACCGAGCAATGATTTGGTTGCGTCTCTTTAAATTTTTTTGGTAAATATTCCTCCTACAAATTCTCAATTTTCATAAATTCACATAATACTACATTCCATGTGAGTGTTTTCATACACCCTTAATTTGCATTGCATTGTGTAAACAAAGACCCTTCGCAAACTAGTTTGCTTATCAACTATCTTAATCACTCATTGCCAATTCCCCTAAACCCTATCTCCTATTTATATCCTACAAAACACTATAACCCTTGCAAAGCTGATTCTATTCTCCACTTCAACATTGAGTAATTGATCTCTTATTCTTCTCCGTTGCACAAAAATCACCATCTCTCACACAAACAAAACCTTCATACTATCTGGTAAAATCAAACCAGAATAAATCTTATTGATGCAAAGAGAGGTACAAATACCCATTATTGGCAAGAGGAGAAATAAAAACAAGATATAGTGGAAAAGAAAAGGAATATAAAAAATGAACTAATAACTCAGAACAAATGAAAAGAATAATAAAGAATCCAAGCTAATAACTGAGAATAAACATGAATTAATAATGGCTAAAACTAGCCATTAATAAATATTGTAATACTCCCCTTCAAGTTGAAGCATAGATGTCAGTCATGTTCAACTTGAATTTGAAATCGTCGAATAATGGCCAAGGAAGATTCTTTGTGGGACTATCTGTCAGTTGGTCACTGGATCACACAAATTTCTTCGGACTCAAGCTTGTCCTTAATGAACTGTCGGTCAATATCAACATGCTTGGTGCGATCATGCTGGATCATTTTGTGAGCGAAACTAATGGCTACCTTGTTATTAACAAATGTAGAGAAGCGGAGAGTATCATACAAAATTCATGGAGCATAATTGTAACCAGAGAGTTTCACGAATTTTCAGAGGCATGGACTGAAATACAACTCTGAGCAACGAAAGACTGCTTGTTGCTTTTATACGTGACCAAATTTCCCCACACAAATGAGCTGTGCCTCGACGTAAATCATCGATCATGGATGGATCCAACCCAACCCGCGTCTATGTAAACTGCAATAGAACGAGAGGTATGGTGGGAAAAAAACAAACCTAAGGCCGGTGTACCTTTTAAATAGTGGAGAATCCGATGGACAGCTTGGAGACGGTGCACATAGGGATCATGCACGAATTGACTGACTATCCCAACTGCGTGACAAATGTCGGGGCATGTATGAGCAAGGTAGATGAGTTTCCCCACAAGACGCTGATAGCGAGTCATGTTTACAGGAACTGCATTGGGAGCATCAAAAAGTTTTCATCGGGATCCATCGGAACAGCCACTGGACTGCACATGAGAAGATTTTTCTTTATTAAAAGGTCAATCACATATTTCGCTGAGAAAAAAACAAATAGCCTGAGATAATCGAGCACCTTCCATGCCTAAGAAATATCGGAGAGATCCCCAAGTCCATTTCAAAGAAAGTAGCAAGAATGTCTTTCAGAGACTTCAATAAAGATAGATCATTACTTGTGAGAATAATATTGTCAATATATACGACAAGGATAGCTACCCAGTCGCTAGAGAAATGTCAGAAGAAAAGAGTGACCCACCACCACCTTCGTGAACTTCTCGAACCATGCCCGTGGTGATTACTTCAATCCATAGAGAGATTTTCACAGCCTACATACTTGCCCTTGGGAGGCAGTGAAGTTAAAGCCTGGAAGAAGAGCCGTGTATATCTTCTCAGTAAGGTCGCCATTCAGGAGCACATTCTTGACATCAAGCTAGAATAGAGACCAATCCAGATTCACTGTAAGGAATAAAATAACCCGAATGGTGTTTAATTTAGCAACTGGTTTAGGGTTACCCCTTGGCGACCAACCTCATCTTGTTGCATTCAAAGGATCCATCAGATTTAAACTTGATGCTAAAAATCCATCGGCATCCCACTTCTTTCTTATCCCTAAGAAGATCAATTGTCCCAAGTATGATTCCGCTTAAAGGCATTCATCTCCTCCATGGCAGCATCTTTTCAGGTTGGGTCTGCTAAGACAGCCTCAATAGTAGATAGAAGCTGTTGATTGGTCAGAGCCGTAGGAAATGCTCTACAGGTTGGCGATAATCTGTGAAAGAAACATAGTTTGTCACAGGATAGAGAGAACATATCTGATTGCGTACCTTACTAGAGGAACTGACTTCCTCATTCGGAGTAGGAGCGTTATTTGGGATGTTGTTCAGAGGAGATTCAAGGTCCAGCAAGGGATTAGCAAGCTCCAGAGTAGGTGCATTAGACCGAGTACGTTGAGTGTAGACATGGAGAGAGGGAGGATGTGCTAATGGAACCAAAGGAGCAGAGGGCTCCTTGGTGGCAGGATAAGTGGGTGGAACCAATGTGAGGAGAACATCCACAACAGTAGAGTAACGAAAAAAGTTCAAGAACTTTAGCTCCCCCTCACTTAAGGCCGAGTTAGGAAAGTAGAGAACACGTTTAAAAAAAAGACATCAACGCTCACATAAATCTTATTTGTGGTTAGATCAAGATAGCGATACCCCTTTTGTGTGGCAAAGTATCATAAAAAAACACATTTTATTGACCTGGGATCAAGTTTACTTTGAGTTGAGGTTGTGTTCTGAACAAAGTATGTGCACCAAAAAATTTCGAGATCTAAAGTGGAGAACACTCGGCTGTTATAAAAACATGATCTCAAGATGACTAAAGGGGCACAAAAGTTGTGAATTTTTTAGGAAACTTTATTGATGAGTAAATTGGCGGTAAGAATGACAACATTTTAGAAACTTTTTGTGGCATTATAGTAAAACATAATAGAGCGGGTAACGTCGAGCGATGTCAATTTTTTTCCTTAGCTGCCCCATTTTGTTGATGAGTGTCGGTACAAGTAAGGGTGTCCGACACGCCAACACGACTCGAACAAGACTAGAAAAATTTGGGTTAGGGTTGACTCAAATATTTTTTGAGTCAGGTTCGAGTCAAAGAATTCAACCCATTTATTACTTGGGTTGAGTTCGGGTTGAACCGAAAAACCCAAACATGCCCGAATAAGCACGAAAGTTTGAGTTCGGTTCGAGTCTCAGTTTTCAACACGCTTATTATTCGGGTCGGGTTCAGGTTACCCTATTCGAGTAGGGTCATTTTCGCGTCAGACCTGAACCCAACCAACTGACCTGAATTGGCATCCTTAAGTACAAAAGCTATGATGGAGGATGCTCTTACTTACCAAGATTTCTCCTAATATAGAGTTAAAAAATTCACGATCATTGTCAGCCTGAATAACTGGAATAAGAGTTCTGAATTGGGTCAAGATGAACGAGTGGAAGTTTTTGAAATTGACATCAGGTTTAGATTTATCTTTTAAAATATAAACTCATGTCATCCGAGTGCGGATATCAATCAAAGTAAGGAACAACCGTTTATTGGTGTAGCTAGGCGTGCGAGAGGGTTCCCATAAATCACTGTGAAAAAGAGAGAAATGAGCAGAAGGTGAGTAATTGTGGAATGGAAAAGGAACATGATTATGTTTAGCTACCAGATAGATTTCCTATTTGAAATTAGAAGGATGTTTATTAGTAAACATCAACAAATACAATTTTTTTAGATACTAGAAACTAGGATGACCCAAACAATAGTGTAGCAACATAATAGTACATTTAATGGATCAAGATAAACTGCAACTACTGGGTGGAGTGTCATCGTTCTCTGTGCTTTTCTCTTGGAAGAAGTAGAGCCCGCCAACCAGCTTAACAGTTCTAATCATCCTCCGCAAACGACGATCTTGAAAAACATAGACATCAAAGGAAAAGTGAACAACACAATCAATGTCATATGTCAGCTTACTGACAGATAAAATATTACATTTCAACAAAAGGTACATGTAACATAGATTCTAGAATTAAACCTGTTGTTAAAACAACAAACCCTTTACCAACAATGAAACTTTAGGACCCGTCAGCACTTTTAACAATATAGTTCCTTGTGCAAGGACAGCATGTCGACAATGCTTGAGAGCTTCCAATCACGTGGTCCAATGATCAATAAACTAGAAAAGGCAAAAGAAGTGAGTGTCATAAGATTGGTATCTTGATGAACGTGGAAAGTTGGCAGAATAGAAGAGAGAGGATTGGATCCAAGCAGTCTGGCTAAGTGCACCATTTGACTTTTAAGAGAATTGGAGGATTCCCAATTGTTATAGGTAGAGGGCGACTGTATCGTGTTGGATTTAGATGTTGTAGTGAGACCC